CTTCACAAAATGTTATGTAATAATTACAATATAATAAATGTAGAAATAAATCTATAAGAGAATCCCTTTCCTAAGTTTACTAGTATTTACTAGAATTCTCTTTTCTAATTACAATTTCTGGAACAAGTCTAATCTTATTTAAAATTGCAAAAATTTCTAATTTTTAAATGCAACGAATTACTTACAATTTTTTTATACTTTGTCCTTTTCTTCTTTTTTTTATAATATAATAATTTCAATGTTTTAGTTGTATTTTTGCACTTGATTATTTGTACCTCTTTCTACAATTATAAAAATTACTGCCCGAATATTGCTTGCAAACAAATGCAAAATACTTTACCTTTTTTACTTAATGCCAGATACAAAATGCAAAATAATCAAAAACATTTTAAAATTAATCTTTAATTTCGGTAGTTTTAATAATTAAATGTCCTTAGAACGTTAAATTAATTAATTTCCGTCTCCGCGTTAATTGATTAACTTTTTTCTGAAATTCGATCGTTTCTAGTATTTTATATCGTATGTGTGCAATTTCTATATACGGCACTGTCGTATAACACGTGTAAAGCTCACCCAAGGGTGGGATAACATTCTCAGGGTTCAGGTCGAACAGTTTCACGACGACCGTTGACGGTGCACGGTTGCAACACTCATTTTGCAGTACCGGTATGCGTTTCGTACAGTCAGCATTTTGATTCAAATTTTCGGTTACGTACAATTTAATGTTCGGTTTCGGTTGTTTCTATATGTGGAGAAGTGATATAACAATCATTAAAAATCATTAAAAATATTTTACATGTATACTAAACAGAAAAATTATCATTTGTAACATAATATATATTTGGAGCACGTGTAGAGTCATGCTCTTATTAATTTATCAGCACTCATTTCATATTAATTTAATTATTTTACAAGTCAACTAACTTTTATCATTAATATTCTAATCACTAGAAAATAAATTGCAAGCTAGAGAGAGAGAGAGAGAGAGAGAAAATTAGTGTGATATAATTATACACGCACTGAGGAAAAAAATTGTTCATTTGATTAGATTAATTTAATTCGTCTTTATTTCTTTCAATGAAGAATTACGTATTTACCATAAATCAAATATATTATATCAAACTTATACATACATATATTTTTTAACGAAAGAAATAAAACAATTAAATTAATTTAGTCAAACGAACAATTTTTTTCAGTGTAGAGTAATGTTCTTAGCCTAGAAAAATTCTCGGAAATTTTGGAGCAAGAAATAGTTTTTTTCGGTTCTTTTTATTGTCATATATTTTCCAACTTTTTTCTTTTAACAATTTCAACATTATTATTCTGTACCATTTATCAATAGTTTTGAGACTTTCAAAATTTCTTTCACATACATATAAATATAAATATTCTAATAAGCAAGTAATTTAACAATAAAATTTGTTATCGTGAGATTTTTGTTAATTTACAGATTAATTTCTTTCTGTTAAATATTGAATATTAATAAAAAAAGGAACTAATTGATGTTAGAGCCTAGACATAATGAATAAAATAAGGATATAAATTATACATATACATATTTTTTTAACAAAAGAAATAAAGAAAAAATATAAAATTAAACATATAAGAAATTAACATTATTTAGCATAAAACTAAGAAGAGAGAGAGAGAGAGAGAGAGAGAGAGGTGAAGGTTTTTTTCTACTCTGACTTTTTCTAACTTCTTATCTTTAATATTCCATTTTCTCTTTATTCTATTCATTATGCCGAAACTTTTACTTTATTGAATAGAATATGCTTGTTTTATGCATGTGCATTCTCAAAGATGTGTTAACAAATTATATCTGTGTTATAGAATAGGAAGAAAAAATGTATAGGCACCAGAATTTTCAGTTCAAGAGATATATAGATGTACTTAAAAAAAAAACTCTTTTGTAATAGAAAGAATATATACTCTGTATGTTATTACGAAAGTTGTGTACCTTATTATCACTAAAGTTCTTATGACAGAACCTACACTTATAGTAAAAATAGTATATTATTTATTGATTATTTCAATCACAGCTTTATTATTAGTCTCAGAATAACCATTTTTTTAAATTTATCTATTAAAAAGAAAATAAAAATCTGGATTTTTTAATTTTATTATCCAGAAAGAACGATTTTACTAAATCTAAAGATTCGCTAGATTTAGATTTGAAAATAATTTTATTAGCTTATCAAAATAGTTATAAGAATTTGAAGCATAATAAATAAACATTATTGCAAAAAGTTCTAACATTTTAGCAACCTAAAATGGGGTTTGAATACCCCCATATAATATTGTATATATAATTGCTTTGATGATCCGATAAAATTGTTTAGATCTAGTTAAATTTTTAGATACTATTCAACAAAATCTTTTTGTGTAAATGAAATTAGTCTGACTTGGAGCTCATTGTTAAAAATAATAGGAAATTGGACTTGTGTAATATTATGTTGCGGAATTGATTACCGTTATAGCTGTTTGTATTTCATCATAAATATGTTGCACGCATAGTATAATGTATCCATTTGATTATACGATATATGTATTCCAAAAGCATTTTAGTTACTATACACTTTCGTATTTTATTCGTTGAAAATTATATTCTACCTGGGAACTTAATTACCGGTTTTTTAATTTAATTCACGCGATTTTGTCAGCGGAGCTGTAATTGTATGCACGTCACACACTACTGATTCTTACCTTGACTTTGAGTGCTCGCAGATTTTTTCCAAGAGCAATGTTGTATATTAATAAAATGAAGAATGTAATAAAAGAACGCGAAAGACTAAAGTTATCACGTTTGCTATTGATTATATTATCGTTGTTTGCTGGTCTTCGATTCTTCAAATATAAAAATAGCAATAATAATTAAAAATTTTGCAGTGAAAACGTTTTATTTGTTATTTTAACATATCTTAATGTATTGAGACAATAATATTCTGAATTATTGCTACGTAATTTTCACCATTTTGTCTTTTTATGTAATGTCGTTTAATTATTTCATGAATATAACTGCAATTGAAAAAAATTATATACGAAAAAAATCACGTTAGGTATATGCTCCATCAATCGGTGTAGAAAAACTTGGCGCATGATCGTAATTCTATTGTCATATACGCATGAAAAAACGAAGGTTACGCATTGACTGCGAAATAGCTCTTTTGTATTGACACGAAATATTTCAGCTGCTTCGTAGCACAGCTGTAGTTTTCTCTCCAAGTTTGACCTAGGCGAATACAATTGATGGGGGGATAAAGCCTAGGATTCCCGCAATAATGTATAGCTAAAACTTATCGTTTAACGACGTCTAACGCCACATGGAATTTTTTCGTCTTTTCTTGCAATCATATGTATACATTTTAAAGAAAATCATAAGTTTTCTGACAAATTATTAACTTTTTAGTAACTAATTTTAATAAATAGTATAAATTATGTTTTTATAGAAAGCGCAATTCAAATGAGTTCTCAACATATATCTTTTATAAAATTAATGATAAAAGAAATATGAATAAAAGAACGTATGCGTATATTGCTCGGAATAAAATCTGTAATACTTATTTCAAAACAAGGCTAAGATATTTTCAAAGGCTTTAGACTATATTTTTTAAATTTTTTTTCGAAAAAAAGAGGAAAGATGGATTTGAGGTAAATGTTCTTCGGGAGTAATTAATTACGTTCACAATCACTAATTAAATTTTGATCAGCAATACGATATGCAACATAGATCTAGTTAACGTTCATTAGCTTTTATTAACTGACAGAATGTCGACGGTATTCAGTCCGCTAACGCACTCCACGTGCTTGAGACTTGATCAATTGGGACGTAATCAGCGCGAGCGATGTACCACAGATGTGACATAGATTATATACGTAATCATAATAAGTCTTTTATGACAAGATTTCTACAATTGTTTACACAAAGTCGCGCATAACAACGAGCGTATATTTAGAACGTGGACTCATGAGTATACATTTAACAGCCTAGGATGTTCTACAAGGAGAAGCCGATTGCTCCTGCAGTTGCTTCGTATGTTTAAAAAATCAGTGAGAATGCGAAAGGTGATTAGATTAGATGGTTCAGATAAAAGTTACATCATACAGACTGCGACTGCGTAGGAGTGTGACAGGAGTATAGTGTTTCAAATACAAAGTGCTGCGGTAAAATTACAGACATTTCACGTGACGAAAGTTGGACTTGCGAAATATGAAGCAAGTGTCATTTTATTCCACCCTAACCGCGGAGGAAAGGACTCGAACGCACCCTTGCAAGAAGACTAGGTGGTAGGTTTTCTTTTCCCGAGAATCCCGAAAGCGTATAATCTTTCCGAATTCCTGCAATATTTCGGAAAGTTATTCTTCTTTATCTATTATATCATCTATCTCTGGCCGTAGCCCAGCGAATGTACTTAAGCTTATCTCAAACGAAATATGTTCTTTAAAAACCTAACATATTAAATTATGTTATACATTATATATGTATATATATATATGTGTGTGTTATGTTTATATAAATTCTTAATAATCGAATTTATATATGCATATACACAACTATATTCTTAATTGAAAATCGAAAGCGTCAATATATTGAGAAAAGTCTAATAATATATAATAATAATAATCAAGCCTAAATAATAACAATTAAAACTTCAATAAAATAATTTCAATCAAATATTCAGTTAATGTAACTAAAATTTAATGCTAATTTTACTTATATATATATATAATTAATTATTATATCAAACCTTAGTTACTATTATTATAATTGATTATTATTACTATATTTAATAATATTAAATATATCGCACTAATATACTGAATAAAATATACTTGGTAGCTTTTTACTAGCCTTTTTTAAATGTACAAATAGTGATCTAACTCGCTTTGTGTAGAACTTCAGAAAATGAATTAATCTTTAATTAATGTGAGCATTTCTTTTTAGCCATTAGAAAAATGAATTAGACTACATTGAAAATAAATCCCTTTTGTTTTAGTGTGATAATGTCCTCTGACGATCAATCATCTCCGACGCAGGCATCGATATCTACAACGAGTTTCGATGTGCTGGACAATGCAAGATTGGAGAAGATTGATATATCTCCCATCATAACGTCACAACCAACAAAAACCGTAGTTTCACAAGTCACGAATACCGATGCCGATGTGATAGAGGAAGCAGTGCCAATCGTGCAAACAACATTACCCATGCCAGAATTGCAACCGAAAATTGAGAAGAACGGTATCGAGATGAAGACGAAGAAATCTTCTGACGAGCCAAACGATGACTGTCTGATCAATTGCATTTATTATACTCAACAGTGTTGCGACTGCACAATAGTTTGAGATCATTCAACACATCTAGCTAAATAATACCGAAGAAACAGCACTTCGCGAGTACTCCGATCAATTTTGGAGTTTTAAGATGCTGCTCTTCGATACGAAATTTAGAATCTGACATAGTAATACGTATGGCGCGCCATTAGGATACTTTGAAATACATATATATAAGAAGTATATAATAATAGAAAAAAATTATACGGAGTATGACGTCTAGAAAATTTTGTAAATGATACGAATGAATGTGTGATGTTCATAATTATATATATATAATTTTTTATATTGTCGTTATTTAATCGAGCAATGACAGTACGATTAAAGACGATTAATAAGAAGTACAAGGGTAACTAATTAAGTAACATATTTAGAATATATTTCTGTGTGTAGAGAAAGTTGTACTTGTAATTTATGCAAATATTCACTGCCATTACGTGGTTAAAAATTGCATGGAAAGACAAGCGATTGTCTTTCCATGCAAGTTAATTAATAGTCTGTAAGTTTATTCATCAATCCTCAAAATATGTTATAAGCAAATTATTTGCTATACCATTACATGTCTTCCTAACACTCTGACATTAATGTTAATGTCAATGATGCACACAGTATTAATTGTGACAATCGTTTAGACATTTATATATGTTTACATTTTGTAAATTTACGAATTAAGAAAACCTGTAGTGATGTAGAAAAAGTAGATCTATGTGGAAACGAAAGTAACACAAGTAATATCAAATATTGATATAAGGATACATTTATTACAAACGAAGAATACGAGTTCTTATTTTTTTTTAATGTGTCCGAGTAATTAAAAATAGTGGTATTTCTATAGCGTAACTGATGATTAAATCGAATCTTGTTTTACAATCTTCTTCTCTTACTCTCATAGTATTTATTTAGGTAATCTAACTTTATGTTACCTGATAATATCTAACAGTATGTTACATTTTCTCAAAATACACTACTTAACAAAATTAAATCACTTGGTCCATCCTGCAAAAATAAACAAATTTCGAGATAAAATAATTTCGTCAAAAATTATCATATTGAGATTTTTAAAAAAGTATTTTAAAGCTTGAAATTCTACTATTCAGACCTGTACTTTAAAAATACCGTATTACTGATATTTCATAAAGTTACACAAACATAAATGAAGCTGCATTATATCTCAAAATTTTGTACGAAATTTGCGAAGTTTCACGGAGCCAAGTAAAAATTGTGCACAAATGCGGTTTACAGCTTTCGAAAAAGTGAATCTTCACCTTTAATTTGCTTTTTTGTTGAGCTCTGTATGAGTTTTTTTTTCACCGAGTTATTCAATGTTGAAGTAAAAATGACCTTTTTTCCTGATATTAAATGACTCTATAATTTTGTTAAAAAAGCTGTATAACTTTATGAAATATTAGTAATATGGTTTTTTAAAGTACAGATCTGTAAAGTAGAGATTTCAAGCTTTAAAACGCCTTTTTAAAAATCTGGATACGATGATTTTTGACGAAGTTATTCTATCTCGGAATTTGCCTATCTTTGCAGGATAGAACAAGTGATCCTTTAATTTTGTTGAGTTATTATTATACACGGATAAAATTATTAAAAACATAGCATGCGGATGATTAAATATTTTTAGCTCATTGTTTTTATGTTCTACAATAATTATATGAATCGATTTAATCATTGTTGCGTTGTTTCAGTGATACAGGAATTGTAGGCATTCCCAAATACTTTATACAAATATTATATAAGGATATATTTTGATACAATAATCGGAGACTGCAAGTATAGTGTAATTTATTCAAATTTATTCATAGATAAGGACTAGATTAGTTTTGTAATGTTACAACGTATGAATTTAATGTGGAGATAATACTAAATAATAATATTAATTTTTTGAATCTCTCTCTCTCTCTCTATTGTGGATACATATCTCCTAAAAATAATATTCTAGACAACTGAAGTTCTCGAAAGTAAAATTTCGAAACATAAGTAAGTACAATAAGTGCTAAAACTTTTTATATTAAAAAATCAAGTTATATATTCTCAAAAATGTGATAATTGAAAATCTAAAATACTAATAGTATCTATTATTCGACATTATAGGCAGGTTTGATACTTTGGTAGGCGCAGCTAATGTTTATTATTTGAAATCGTATTTTGCCAATGATAAAGCAAGTTAATCTGCAATTACTTATAATCTTCAGATTCAATTCGTTTTATTTTTCTTCTAAACTAAACTAACTTTTTTCTAATTTTACTACTTATAATTGTCACATAATTGCATAGCAATTTATAAAGTGAGGAAATGAATAAAAAACATTTCCGTTTTGCGCATATATAGAAACAATATTATAATATATAATATATAACAAAAACTAAGGAGAAATTTTATATAACCTTAGAGGAACAGAATTGACTGTACTGTTTTATTCCATAAATGAATGATTTTTTTTTAGAAGAGAGTCCCACAGTTAATGAAGAAAATGCAAATGTTCAAGAATTTTATTAAAAAAATGTCAACATGATGTCAGATAAATGGAGACATTAAAAAAATAATTTTATAAAACAAGTTCGAAAAATTGAGAACTCGCGTAGTTTGCTTCTATTGCTTGCATTACGATTCGTATATAGGTAATGGATGACCCTCAGAATTGAATACCCACCTATCCAAATCTATCAATTGCCTAGTATCATCAAATAACAAATACAAATATTTTAAAGTTTCGGCGAACCAGAAACTTTCCGTCATATCCTGCTGACGAATGTGTTGAATGTTCCGGACGTTACCGATACTCGTGTAGCCACCTTCAACTTTGGTATAATTCTCGAAAGCCTGTCGAGACGCGTTTTATATTAGATATATGTAATAAAATCCTAGGAAACGTGTAAATAACACACTCACCTGAAATATCTGCCAACCCCAATCTTGATAAGTTTTATTCCCCGTAAAATACCACATGTAAAATAGACTCTCGACAAATTCGGGCCTTAATAAATTATGAGCGTCATTCGTTTTTACGTACATATCCATATGATTTTCACCCTCTATTTTCTATAGAATCACAAAACGATTATAAATTTTTTATGATACCTCCGACGTTGCTATTGCAGAATCAATTCTTTGTTCTAGCTCTTGTTTGTTCTAGCTGAGATTAGTTTTTCGAACTTACTTGTATATTAAAATAAGTAATCTCAGGTGCGAGGAACGTTGGCTGGATTGCATACGTTTGATAACAAGTTTTAACAAGTTCTTCTGCAAGGACGTTATGCTCCGACGGTAGTCCATGATGCACACCTAACGCTAAAGTACCTCCTAAGTAGCATGTGAGATGATCCTACAATATATTTGTACACTTGCAAATTTGCGTAATATTCTTGTTTTAAGCAGCCCCTAGATGATCAATATTATTATACAAGATGATCAATATTCTTATCATCTTCTGGATTTTATATTGAATCTCTCAACTGTTTATTTCGAATTATTTAAAGGAGTATCAATATTGTTATACAAAATAAAATGCACAATAATACTGAATGTTTAGGGGCCGCCTTCAACTACTTTGTATTTAAGCTATTTACCATTTTCGGTTTAATTTCTTTATTTGCGCCGACCAATTCAGCGACGAATAGATACTTATTGATCGCAGTACGTTTAATGAGATGCTTTTGTGTTCCGACAATGCCGTACAAGTAATCGTCGCGAAGGCTAAAAATATCAACATTACAAGCCTTAAGCGTTAAGAGTCATAAACTTATTTTACACAATTATAACTTCGATAATGAAATATACTAACTAGTCTATGGTTTTTCCAGTTTGTAACCACTGTTTTAATAAGTATTCATAGTAACTATCACCGCGAGCACCTAACGTAATCGTAGCGTATTCCCGAAATTGTCCCGTATTAGCGTTAATAAAAATTGGAACTAAACCATCATACTTTTCTAATTTATGTACATGTTCGGAAACTCTTGCCGCTGCAGTCTAGAAAGATCCAATATTAAATATCCATTGCAAATTGCTTCATAAGTCTCGCTTCAATTCTAAAATTACCTCAAACTTAAGTTGACCTGTACTACGACTAAGATCGCGAAACTCTAATTGAATGGAAGTAACTTCACTCGTGCTACTGTCAGGACCCCATTTAGGACTATGCGCACTTCTAGTACCAAGATTCACATCAGAATATGGAACACCTGATCTGGTAGAAAATGCTGGCATCATGCGATCACCTAAATCCATCTTGGATATCACAGATAAATTAACAAATTAATATTTATATTTTTATATAATCAAAACTGAAATTATTTTGCCTGATACTTACGGCCTTATTTAAAAAGAGTATATCACCAGAAAGATGATATGCTGATAATAAACCACCTAATACCCTAATAGTAACTTCAAATAAATTAACATCTCTATTCATTGTAAACACTAAATTTTCTTCCACCCATTTTCTTGCTCTTGAATATTCTAAAACATAATGTGAAGAAACTCTATCATGTTTCTTTTTCATTAATAATGAATATCAAAAACTTAAAGATTTAATTTATATACACACCATCATATAATCCCATTATATATATAGTATCCAATGAATCAACTATAGTAAGGCCTAATCCAAACCATTCGTGATATCTTTTTGATATCGGTTTGACATTATCGTGACCCCATGCATATTTTTTATATCCATTCCAAGAATGCTTAAATGCAGCTACGACAGCATCTTGCCTACTATTTTGTGGACCTAAAAGTCCAACATTGTTATTTATATCTATTGTTACAATCTAACGTAATTATATCATATCATTTTTCAAGAATTATAATCTACCGCTAAATTTTAGAATGTTTGGCCTTGGCTGTGGTGGTTCACCAATTTGATCATCATCAACTTGATTAATTTCTGGTTGAAATTCAGGCTCTTCAATTACTTCACCAGGTCCAGCAGCCTGTTCTTCATTATCTACAACAACTTCATCTACTGCCTGTGAAATAAAAGAAAATTTGATATTTTTGTATACAAATACACAAGAGCTCTCTTTGAGACATTGTTTACCTTCTCGTATTTGGCAGTTTCTTGTACAACTTCTACATTACTATAATCTACCTCATTGTTAGAGGGACCAGCTTTGGTTTCGCTAGGTAGGAGATAAAATATTACAAGTAGAACTGTGATTATTGCAAAGTACAGAATATTTCTTTGGAACCTGGACAATTGGTTCCATTGCTGAAAGAGAGACAGGTGGCTGAATGAAAAGGATAACTATATAGCAGTCTAAATGCAGACTTAAAAGTAACAATACGTTTGCATTATTTTCCCTCACATATATACATACCCTCCATAAACTGCGAGAAGTGCCCCGTGCAAATGACCCGCTTTCGTGTATATTCAAACTAATATAATCTGATTTACCCGAGTCTCTTGGCGAGAACATATTTCCATACAGGTTAACTCGTTCCGGCACGTATAGAAATTGATTGTGTTGCCAGAACACTTAAAATACAACACTGCGACAAATCAGCCCAACATGCGGAGGTCCTCATTTATGCGAGTATACAGTCAACGAGTTTTTTACATTTTTATTAAATTCATATTATTATTGCTTTGTTAACGTGTACTCTGCACTTGAAGTAGATGGCGTTCACGTGTCTCTCTCATGTTGTGTTTATGCATGGTTGTGTGTACCATCCAGGGCCGTGTAAAAGGTGGGAATGCATACACGCACTACCATGGCCTTTATATCGTTTCTATTTAAATTAATTAATTTAATTTAATTTGCATATGCAAATAATATTCATTTATATTTCATTTATAGTCTTCATGAACAAAAAAGTAGATAATTTAAATTTAATAAAAATCTTTATACAGAATTTATAATGAGAAATTATATTATCTAACCAAATGGCACTTATATATTTAACTTTCTGTGACTTTGTAAGACAGACAACTGACAGCTCGTGATTCGCTATAGCCTAATTTTAATTATACTGTTTGTTATATTTTTTAAACTCTTTAAAGTTTTATATATAAAATTTTTAACAGGTATGATTCTAGCTTTGTTTTTGTACTAGAGCTCCAAAAACTCTTTGTACAACCCTGGTACCATCTGTGTATGCAGAATTTCTCGATTGTGTCAACACGTTGAAGCAATTGCCGGTTCGAACGAAGAATTTTACTGAAATAAACAAAGAAATAAACGCGACAATCGCCAAGTATTTGTTGTTTAATCAGTTTTAACAAAAGGACCAAATATACAGACTACAATGTGCCTCGCAAACATATCTGGCGTGCCGGATAAACATTGGCAGCCACCCTTCGTTGTTTTCGAAACTACGTAAGTGCTTCTAACTTAAAAGTCACTCCGTATACACCACTAATCGATTCTAATCTTTAGGATGGGTGAAGTAACCTTCGAGCTATATTGGAAACATGCTCCTATTACGTGTAGAAACTTTGCCGAGCTCACGCGACGTGGGTATTACAATGGCACCAAGTTTCACAGGGTCATCCGCGACTTTATGATTCAAGGTAACGTATTATAAGCATTAGAATAGATTTATTCAGATTATTGTTAAATTCACAAGTCAAAAATTGTATCCAATTTGAGTTATTTTTAATCATTTCTATAGGTTGCCATTGCTACTCGATATGTCATTAATTGTAATGATACATAGTCTTGCAGAATACTTTATCTTCAACGATTTCATTTGCAGGAGGAGATCCCACTGGGACAGGAAAAGGTGGAATGTCCATTTATGGCGAATGTTTTGATGATGAAATACATGACGATTTGAAACACACAGGTAATTTAATGAATAATTACGATAAACGATATTGATAAAAAATTAATAATGATTGTGATTAATAATTAGCAAGAGAATTAGCTTTGTCACTGTTATAAGATTCTTTGATATGACTGATTTAATTCATTGGATATTAACTCTATATTACCACTCATATTTTTCTTATCATTAACACTACTCCGAGTGACAATTCATTGATATATAATTTAGATTTTTTTACATATTTTTATGTCTGCTTTATATGTTGCAAAATGTTAGAACAACTGAACACTATTTTGGCTGCATTCTGTTATTCACTGTAAGAATTAAAAATTTATGGTTCATGTATATACTGTTAAATTTTCATGAGACGAACAAATTATAACTAATGTGAGTTATTTTTAATCATTTCAATAGGTTGCTATTGCTTCTACTCAATATATTGTTAATTTTACTACAGCGGTGTTATAATTGTTTAAAATAATAAAATTAAATAATTTAATTCAAAAAAATAAATTAAATCTTATTAAATATTATTTTAAGCTGTCAAAATATTCAATATCAAATCTTATTGGACTGTGAGAGTTTAGAACTAAATATTGATGAGAACATGCCAAAACGGTCAAGATGGATCTTGGATGTTTTTGATATATAATTTCATGTGAATTTATGTATTCTATGATATGTAGATTCTTAAATGCTTGAAAATAGACGTTCCTACTTATATGATTACTGTCAATATATTATAATAGCAAAAACTATCTCTCTATATTAATCGCAAAAAGTACATGAATAAAAATTCATCCTTGATAGTGTTCTAAAGAGCAAATATCAAGTTTAAAGAAGCTCACAAGAGTTGAAACATTTTTTTTTCTGTCAAATACAATCAATAATATTATTTCAATACAAATACTTTAATTATGTTATATTAAAATTTGTATGTGTAGGTGCTGGAATATTATCAATGGCAAATTCTGGGCCAGATACAAATGGATCACAGTTCTTTGTAACGCTTGCACCTACTCAATGGCTTGATGGAAAACATACTATATTTGGTAAGTTATAATTTATTACGAACTATATCTACTTGTGATATAATTGACGTAAAATTATTTTATCCTTTTCGTTATTTAACAGGTAGAGTTTATTCTGGCATGGCAATAGTGAAAAGAATTGGATTAGTTGAAACGGATAAGAATGATCGACCGGTAGATGATGTTAAAATTGTGAAAGGTTCAGTGAAGAACCCGTGAGTTTTCTAAAGGAAATCTTTTATATAAGATGCAAAATCATAATTTTTAGAATTGTAAAAAAAAACATTAAATAAACTGATATATTTATATTTCTACTGTTTTTTCTCTGATTTATACGTTATGATAGAATATTAAAGATAGATACAATAATTAATATAGAAACCTAATTGTAAAAATAGAAATTCTTATTTGTTGTAAATTGTAGTCTCCAAATTGTGCTATTATCATCATTAATAATTTATATTTATTTTCATATAATATAATATTTATTTATTATTCATACATTTATATTTATATAATCACTTAAAACAGTTATTAAAAAAAAAAGAAAAATTTAATATTGTATAATCATATTTCCTATTTCGTGCATTTATTAACTAATTGATTCAATATACTTTTAATATGTTCTAAAAACACGAATAAAATAATATCCGAATCAAAAATTTATGAAAGTGAAATTTTTATGCAAAAATGCGTTGCCAAAGACTCTCTTATGTCTTTGGGCGTTGCAGGCGTTAGCTGCGGCTAGTGACCCTCTAATAAAGGTGCTTTTTCATGCGCAGCACGCTGCAGCAGCAATTCGTTACTATTGGTTAAGAATTTTATGTAAGCTAGATGACGCACTTCCGGCGCAAAATACATTTTGCCGCAGTTCGTTGAAGTTGAACCGAACGAACAGCAAGC